AAAGGAAGGTGAGCATGAGGCAGGTAGAACTTTGATATGAAGCCATTCACCTCACTCTGACCTTGAGCAATGTGAATAACTGCCCAGCACAGAGTGACCTGAGGAATAGGAAGTGGTTCTTGTAGTCCTGTCTCACTTAAAAAGCCTCATGTGGTGATACATGCCTGCAGGCCCAGCTACTTGAGAGACTGAAATGAGAGGATCCCTTGAGCCCAGGAGTTCAAGGCCAGTCTGGGGAATGCGGCAAGACCTCATCTCAAAACAATAGGGGAAGGTCTGCAGAACACTCCACAGACTTTAGTTGCTGTTTACAACAGGCCATTTCTGTGCACTTTCCCAGCATTCGACTCCTCTGAGGAAGGTTTATTTCCTTGGCAGGTGAAGAACTAAGAAAGTGGTGTTATCATAGCATATGGCTGCCTGGTCATGGCAAGATCTGGGCTTGGTCTTTCTGTCCCAGAAAAGACTCATTCTTGGACACGTTCAGGGTCCCTTCCTTTGGACACCCATTGTGTTGGAACAGATCCACAGGAATAAGCAGACACATGACCAAGAGGAAACCGTTTATTGTACCAAAAGCAAAGCATTCCCCTCAAAGGCAGAAGGGACTCATTTGTTGGGTTCATGGCCTGGGCAACTTGTGGTACAAATAGCAAATGTTCTCCTACGTTGACCCTCACACCCGAGAAATGTAACTAATATGAACTTAATTATTGTCTGCTCCCAACTTTACTGGAGTGCATGTCAAGAGCTCCAGTAGACAAAGCCTTGATCTCAGGCCCATACTGCCCCCTGACTGTCTAAAGACAACAGGAGTGTTTTGTTTGCTCGTGTGTTTGGGTGCTAGACATTAGGTCTAAGGACTCATACACTTTGAATAAGTAATCCCTCACAGGATCATATCCCCAGTCCCATCCCAGCTCCAAAGGGGCTGTTTGTATCAATAAAACTGCAAAAGAGTTCCATCGCTCCTCTGATGTTTTCTTGGATGCTTCAGACTCACAGTACTCCCCCACAAATGTCCACAGACCTAACTGCTACTTTTTTTTTTTAAGCTATTGCTTATCAGGGGATTAAAAAATACAGTCCTGAGTGGCAGACACCAAACCCCAGGGAGCACAGAGGTAGAACGCTCCTAGCCCCTCCCCAAACAGGCCACTCTTGAGTTGTTTTAAGAAAGTTGAACTCAAGATACAGGACATCTTAGAGTCAGCTTTGGGCACTAGGAGTAGTGTGTCACCTGCAGGAGGGGCACTTGCTTTGAGGGTGCTGTGAAGTGTGTAGAGTGGCTCAGCTCAGGAGCTGTCGGTGATGTCCACGTGGCCTCATCGCTACCCTGCCCCCCGCCCCGGGCCCACAGGTGAGTGTTCTCCCTAAATCTTGAAGTCATTCAAGATTGCTTTTGAAATGGAGAGCACAGAATATTTCTCAGACCACTTTCTGTCCTGTTCTGCCTTGTTTTTTAAATTGGGAGGGAAGTATACTTCAGTGGTAAATACTTAACCACCATGCACCCTGGCTTCAGTCTCCACCATACAAAGGAAAGAAAGAAAACTTTAAAAAAAAATTTTAAAAAAGGTCATATTGAGAGATATAATTTGCATATCTTACAAATTATGCAGTTAAAGTATACAATTGATACTATTAGTATTTTCACAGATTGTACAACTATCTCCATAGTCTAATTCTAGAATGTTTCATTTCCCCTAGAAATAAAATAAAGCACACTCATAGTCTTCATTCTTTCCACAAACCTTACCCTCGATCCTGTGACGCCACTAATCCACCTTCATTTCTCTGCCTCTACCTATTCTAGACACATGAATGCAACCAGCTAATATGATGACTCAGCTTCTTTCACATAGCCTGCTTCCAAAGTTCCTTCATGCTGTAGCGTTTAGTGTATATGTGTGTGTTTAAGATTCATTTACTTATTTTATTTATATAAGTACATTGTACCTGTGTTCAGGAGCACCAGAAGAAGGCATCTGATCCCATTACAGATATTGTGAACCACCATGTAGTTGCTGAGAATTGAATTCATGACCTCTGGAAGGGCAGTCAGTGCTCTTAACTGTTGAGCCATCTCTCCAGCCCTGCATTTACTGTGTTTTTAAAATTATTTTATTAGCATGGTTATACTTTCATAATTTCATTCATGTGTACATTGAGTTCCTAAGCTCACATAATATTTGGGCAAGAAAAAAAATTGCCATCAAAGTTTCTCTTAATGTCCCGACTGTTTACGAAGGCCCTAACACAAGCAAGCCTACACACAAACCACAGTTCAGGTGCTTTCCTCCTCCCCGCCCCCTCCCCCCACCCCATGCCTGTTGGTCCAGCTGTCCTGGCTTTCTGATTCAGAACCAAAGTTGATGGGCAAGACCAACAACTAAGCAGGGGAAGCCAACCCCAGTGCCAGGACTGGAGCCAGGACATAGCCACTGCTACTGGATTGGAAATACTGGAAACCATCCTTGGCCATTTGGAGATGTTAATTAGGCTGGCAAATCCCCACCGGTCTTGGTTTGCCAGTGTTGAGTTGCATGTGCAGGCTTCCCCATCCACTGCCTGCACCTGTTCCCTTCCTCAGAGCCATTCCAAGGGGTCTGAATAACCCCCGTCAGGGCTCTGATCCTCCTCTGCCTGCCTTCCTGCTGGGAGAATAGTTAGCACTTGCCTAAAGCTGGAACCCTGGTCCAGTCTTTCTCCCTCACCCATGCCAACTCTCAAAATCATTCTCCTTCCTAATTATCTTGAACCAGTTAATCATTTCCACACTGACTGTTCAGTAACGAGGATGTGGGGAGAGGCAGCCGTGTATCATGTCTGCCCTGGCCCACATTTACCCCAAGTGTCAATGCTGGACAGCAGCCTTTCTTCAAAGATAAGAAGCTTGCTTCAAACTGCACTCCTCTGTAGCTGAGAGAAACATGCCCTACAAAGGCTCTCATATAGCAAATCCAAGCTGCTGAACTTCAGAGAATGCAAACCTCGAACCATAGAAGTTATTTCTAAATTATTATATATATAATATAGATAGATAGATCATGTTGATGATATCCAGAATATCAAAGAAGTCACACAACACCAAAAAGTAAAACACTTCTCTGAAAATGGCCTCTTGATTCTTCTCCAGGCTCAAACTCTTGTGTATGAGCTGCCAACTGGCTACAGCCAGGCTGGTTAGTGTCTGAGGTAGACTGTGACGGGGTCTCTCTATGAGTCTTTCTCTAGGTGCTCCTATGTGTAAAGAAACTGGCTGCTGATGTCCCAGCACTACTGATGTCCAATCATGTCTTCTTATTCAGAATACACTGTAACCCTGGAGGACAGCATCTCTAAGTCACCCTGGAGCCTCTCAAGACTTTCCTTTCCTAACTTGTCCTCTACCTTAGGATACCACAGAAATATGTGGTCCACTTATTTTCATGCTCTACTTCCCCTACCCTCTACTAGAGCTCCCAAAGCAAGGCTTTTGTTTGTTGTATCCATTGCTATAGCCTATAATGGCACTCCACATATCTGGTGTCCAGTTGATGAAAAGAAAGATGGAAAAAAAACATACTTTGTACCTCTTTCCTCCCGGGCTATCATGTACCTCCCAGGCTCTTCTCATTCCTTATCTCCAAGCTCAGTGCTCTCTCTTCTAGACCCTTCCAGTAGTCTGTGTGCTAACCCCTAGGATTGTACATTGTGCTAAGAAGCTACAGCCTATTCCCTGATCCCAGCAACTGGGAGCTCACCCTTCAAGAGTCCTGCCTGTATGTCAAGAGCAGGTGACATCTGAGCCCTATGGAATAATCAAGGCAGCCTCTAACTGCCTCTGCCTCTGCCTCTGCCTCGCCTTAATTCAACCATGGATTGGCAGTTACTGAGATAGTCTTTGTGGGCCAGCACACCACACTAGGCTGTGTCTGGGGACCCTCAGGAGAGGAGCAAACCAGTCCTCATCAGCAATTACAAACAAGTCTTCCATTGTTAGCGCACCATCTGCTTTCTGGGCTTCCACCAATCAAGGGCCTGTATGCATAGCATAACCAGGACTGGGGGGCTGCAAGAGAGTGAGATCAAGGATCCCCCTTCATAAAGAGCTTCTTCTCACATGGGAGGGCATCAGGGGCGTGGCTCTGAGAACCTGAGGCTCTCCAGTCAAGGTAGACCCAGGCACAGAGGCACTCTCTGTTTGTCATCTTCCATTAGATGAAATGGAGCCCTGAAGTATGGCACACTGGAAAAAAATAAGAAATGTAGAAAATTGCATTAATGTCTAAGGATCTACTGGGTCCTTAGCCCAGACAGAGCTGCTCATGCCCTCACATGGTGAAAGAGCAAAGTTCACAGTAGGACAAGGAGCTGCCATTTGGTCATCGGGGCTGGCTAAGGATCTTGGCTTCCCACCCCAAGTACTCAAAACTCAGGGCCTGAGTGTTCATCAATAGCTTAGAAAATTAAACTTCATAGATGTGCACATACTTCCTTCATAGAGGCATAAAAAAAAAAGAGTGCCCAAATGGTGTTAGAAAAAACTCTGGTCGCTGTGCCAACCTTGGCAGATGAGATCAGCAGAAAGTCTGAGTTTACAATCCTAGCAATGTTTGTGTCACTGCTAACATCCAGACTCAAGAGGGGCCTAGCTATCTAGAATTCAGGAGAGTTGGGGAAGGGAGGGTGGGGTAGAAAACTGCTTTCTGAAAGCAAAACCAGGGTGCATGTGCTGTGGGCAGTATAGGGAGTCAGGATGTGGAGCACGTGACAGGGACCTGTCATAAGGAAGCAGGGGCTGAGATCCTCCCTCAGGTCTGCATGCTTCTGAGGACTCCGTTGTAAACACAGCACCAACTGGCATTCGATCCCATCAAGTGAGTATGCAAGTGAGCTTTCAGGAAAGCTGCAGCTGGGGGGCTACGTGTGTTATTAGCTGTGTGTATCATTATCAAGCTGCAGCTGGGGGCGTGCCACCCTTTCATTCACTGGATTTTTATCTTTTCTCTCTTCAGATTAAAATACAGAATGGTCTCATTACGATATTTGAGCGAGGTAAGACTAACTTTGGTGGGTCCCCCACCCCCACCAAACCCTTAGTTGACTTTTACATAACCACGTTCCTTCTTTGGCCTCAGCCTTGCCTGCCTCCTGTCTCCTCCCAAGGGGCCCTGCCTACTCTCCTGCCCCTACATGTCTGTGCTGCCTGTGGAGCCCAGCTTTGCCTGCCTTTCTTCTGCGAGTACACTCTGGGTGGAATCTGACACCAACACCTGCCATCGTGGAAAATGTCTTTGTCACCTCCCCTTTGTGTGGGGGCTGCAGGGAGCCATGGGTACAGGCCCCCCCCCCCTTTTTTTTGTTGACCAAGCCTGGAGAAGCAGGATGTTGAGATGAGCCGATAAGATGAGGCGCTTGCTGGCCTAGCCTTTGACTGCTTGCCTTAGCAGAGGCCTCCAAAGGCCAAGGCCTCCACACAGGGGGAGCTGATGAATGGAGCAGCTGGAGGAAGAGAAGCAGACAAAGGCTGGGAGAGTGAAGAGGGCAGTGAATCCCTGGATCCATAGCCTAGGATGCTCAGAGCGAGCTGAGATGGCAGGTGTGACCTCCCAGCTGACCTCTCTGTCCTGGCTCCAGGATCCTGACCCAGCACAGATAACTCAGATGGATGACAGCCACCACTGCAGGACTGGGCAGCAACTCTCCAGTATGGCCTGGCTGTACTGGTTCTCTGGTTCACAGGCAGGAGATGCTTGAATAGCACCTATGATAAATCCACTCAAAAGAGAAAGCTGTCATTTAGTAACCGTGTTCCTACGGTGGTCCCAACACAAATAGAAGTAGCTTACCCAGGACATCTCTGTGACCCAGCAGCCTGCTGTACCTGCCGACTGGATGTACAGATGGCCACTATAGTGATTCCATTTCTCTAGCCCAGCTACCCTTCCTCTTCTTCTCAGTCGTGGCTTTAGACCAGTCCCAGCTTGGCTAACTTACATCATCCCTTAAAGGTGATAGGATCTACAGAACACAAGTTCTCTAGTCAGAAAGGGGTGAAGCAGATTTGTAAGGTCCCTTCCCAGTAGGGATTTAGGGGCAAAGGTTTGTATTTAGAGGCCTCCCTCCCATGTGCTCCTGCACCTGCCCTGGCAGAGGTAAAACAGTCCGAATGGCCTTTGAATAAGACACAGCTTCCATCCCCAGTGGAGGCCAGGCTGAGGCAGCACTATCCGCAGCTTGCAAGTATAGTCACTGCATCAAAAAGGCAGCCCTTATCCTTTGAGATTCATGTCTGCATTCCTCAGCTCCTGCCTGTGCAGCCGTCAAAGGGTGCATCAGTGGACACAAGTCAAAGACTGAAGGAATGCATGAGTCATGGGGCACTGGATCCTGGTGTGCCTTTACTCTCTGCCTTTAGGAGTACAAGCCCCTTGTCTGCAGAGCTGTGAAATGCTGGCTCAGGTTTACTCAGTGGGACAGCTGATACTACCTTGTCCATCTGTAGGAGCTCAAGTTGTGACCCAACTATCCTGGTTTTCCTTGGTCGAGGGGGATCAGGGTACGGGCTAAAATGTTTGCTTCTGACCAAACCTGAGCAAGTGCTTTTATTCCTTTGCCTGCTGTCTTTAAGCATTTACTGACTTGCTTTTTTTTTTCTTCTTGGCTTCTTAATTCTAACTGATGTAATCAGAGTGGGTGGCATTGCAAATCAGAATCCTCTGAGGTTCAGACAGGTTTTCCCATACCGCCTTTTGCCCATCATCAAATGTTCCTGCCCAGTCCCAACAGCTAGGAGAGAGAGAGGTGGCCTTAAAAACCTGGTCCTTGGGGGAGGCTGGAGAGATGCTCAGCAGTGAAGAACATCTCTTCCAGAAGACCAGGCTTTAATTCTCAGCACCCACATGGCAACTTACAACTGTGTGTAACTGCGGCCACCAAGTAGCATACAGACATATACGTAGACAAAACAAATGCACATTTAAAAACAACACTGATCGTTGGATGGCCACAGCTGCTGTGCTGCCTTTGTTTAAGGCAACCTGGGTTTTGTAATTTTGCAATGCTGGGACTCAAGGCTGCATGCATGCAAAGCGAGTGTTCTACCACTGAGCTAACCCCACCCGTAGTAGCCTGTTTCTGAGGAAGCAGACAATAGAAGGGCCCAAGACCTCTCTGTCCAGACAGCAGCCCCAGTGAGCCTAGAACAGTGGGAGAGGGAAAGTTTGTCCTCGGAAACTGAGAGTGAAAATTAAGCATGGGACAGAGTGTCTCCATGAGTCAAGGGAAACTTTAAATATTGATTTCTGAAGCTCTTCCCCAGAAAGGATAGGACAAGGTCAGAAGACATATAAACAAACAAACAAAACAACCCAAGTAAATTTCAAACACTAGGAATGACAATTTCAAAGGAGAAGTCCATAGGGAGGAGGCTGCAGGAGTCCTGCTTTTGAGGTTTGTTCTAGGCAGGGGCCACCCAGGGAAGCTTAGAGCATTTAGAGCATTTAAAAATATATTACAAGGGGGAGGGTGATGAAAGCATCCTCTCATTCGCAGAGTGGCCCTTGGGAGGCCAGCGAAGCCGCAACAGTGGCCGGGTGTTGCAGCAGGCATTCTTGTATTCCTCTGAGCTCCCAGACAGCCACCCTGGGGATGGGAAGAGTGCAGAGCTGCGAGTTTTAATTTTATTCCTTGTTCCCTCTAGTGCCAAATAGCTGCATGCTCATCTGGACTCATTCAGACTAGCAATTTAGGCGTGACCTCTGTCTTAGTCCCTAGGGACTAAGTGAGTAGTAACTCGTGTGAAATATCAAAATGTAAACATGCTAGGATCCCAGAAACACAGCATTGCCATTGACTCTGCCCAGGGCTCCTTTGTGGCCTTCACTCCAGTGTACCGCAATCCAATGCCTTTCTCTTCATTCATTTTTTTTTTTTTTCTGGCTAGTAAGAGCCAGAAAAGCTGATTTTATATCAATGATCCATAGATCTGTAATTTCATTTATGTTGTAGAAGAGCCCAGGGCAAACACTAAGAGGAGTGGCATTTCTTTTTTGATAAATTCAACAAACATCCTTGCCTGGCACAGTGTGGGGCAGGGAGGACTTCAAACCCATTTCCCAGTGACCAAGTTCCCTGTCTTCTGTGTTTCCTGAGCACTGTATATACTTCCTCCAGTGTGTAGCTAGAGATTCTCATTGACCTCTGTGATGTGGCCATTCTCTGCTTCCTTTGCAGGGGTCTTGATCTTCAGCCTGAGTATGGATCCCAAGAAAATCCTCCATATGGAAGAGACAGGCAAGACTCCCCTGATTTTCCCAGAATCCTCAAAATCCAGACTTCAGGAAACTGCCACTGTGCCAGCATGTGCAGCAAGCCTTCCCATAGCTCGGACCCCCAGGGTCAGAGGTAGTCTAGTTTGTGTGGAACCTTCAAACAAAGCTGTGTCTCTCTTGTCCTGGAATCTCACCAAACCTTAGGCATCAGAAGAAGAAAAGAAAAAGTCATCCTCAACCAGGAACAAACCTGCTGTCATAATGGCGATGGAGAAGCCCACATACAGTCCTTAAGCAGAACACAGTGAACACAGTAGCTAAAGGTTCGGGGCCCACAGGAAGGGGCAAAGGGCGCTTGTCTGTATCACTGAATTGTTTTCCTTTCATTTATATACCCAAGCTTGATTCCCAAAAGGGCTGACAAGACAACTGTGTAACTGTTGGAGGAATTTCCTCCATACTGATTTTGCTAATCCTTATGTTAGGATTTATACTTTACTCAAAATTTCATCATCATGGAAACTGGCTGTCCCCAGAGTCTTTTCCCACAGGAAGTTTCACCTCCATCATTGAACCGTTTCCATCTGGAGCCTGAGGTCCACTGACTTAAGATTCTCCTGACAACACGAAGTTCTGTCAGGTGATGTTCCCACACAGAGTGAGCAGGGTATCTAACAACATGGGAGGATCCACAGGAGAGCACTATGCAAATGGGTAGCAGCCCTGCTCACCTCAGCCCAGCCCAGCCCAGCACCACACACATCAAAGCACACACACACACACACACGAATCAAATTTTATGTATTGGCTCCAAGGAAGGTGTGTTGTGCCTATTAGGGATGGGAGGGAAGGAAGGAGTTAAATGTGTCCCTTACTGGACTTGGACATCTTGGACCTTAGTATATGGCAACTAAGAGTTCACAGGGAAGACTTCTGCATGGTCACACACATACTCACACATACACACATTCCATTCCCATGCCTCTGTCCTGGCCCTGGTGCTGTCTCCGAGCTCCAGTGTTGCTTCATTCCCTGCTCTGCCTCAGAGGGAAACAGCAAATGCAGCAGAGGCCATCCCTTGTGCATGGTTCTGCTACGTGAGGTCATTTCCCAGTGCACACATCTAGATGACCCTTTACTGAGAGCAGGGAAGCAGCTGTAGAGGACAGACTGGAGGGGCTCAGGCATGGGAAAGAACGTCCTGGATGTAGCTACCTCTCTACCTTCCTCTGCCCTCTGATCTCACACACGTTAGTACTCCTACCCTGCTTGGTCACTCCTCTGAGCCTGCTTATCCACCTCACCAGTGTCCATTCCCCAGAGAAGCCAGCTTTTTATATCTACTACAGAGCTGATTTGGCTGCTACTGACCTTGGTAGAGAAAGGAGTAGAGCCAGAAGCCATACTCAGTTTTGTAGTGAGTGGGAATTGAGAGAGTGAGACATTCTAGGAGCACCTCCCACTGCAGGGAGAACCCATCCTGCTGTGAAGGGAGTTTAACAGCCTCTCATCCCAGGCCACAGACTGAAGCCCCTGGAGAGCTGCTTGACAATCATAGAGAGCAGGGCATTGCAAAGCAGAAAAAAAGGCTCTGGGTGCTGTTTTCTAATGGTCCAGGATGCTCACTTACTGGGAGGTTAATGGTGATAGAAGGGAAATAGGCTGTCATGACATTTCCCATTGTGTCAGTGAAACCTTGATTCTGATCCCACCCACTGTCTGTGTCTGTCTGTATGTGTCTGTGTGTCTGTATGTGTCTGTGTGTGTGGCCAGTATTGTTCAGACTTCTGTTATTGATCTGCTACTTTGGTGTTTACAAAGTACCTAGACCTGGCTCCTGCAGAAAGCTCCTCCCACGTCCTGGGCGCTAAAGGCCCCCACAGCACTCTGTCATTAAGTAGCTTCTGCAGGAACACTTATCTTCAGGCCCCATAAACCCTTTATGGAATTCTTGTCATTTTGGAAGTCTTTCCTTTTCATCTTTTTCAGTTGCAATACAACCCAGGGCCACAACCCAGGTCCCAGAGGTCCTGTTTAACTCCCACAGCTGTCTGTTCATAATTTCATTTGCTTCCACAAGCCCTCAGACATGGAGTGAGAAATTCAATTGGAGGTAGCAAATAATTTGAACTTCTTATAACCTAATGATTTTACCAACCCCACACCCAGGTTGACAGCAACAGTTTATGTCTGTTTATGTTTTACTTATTAATGTGGTCCATGGTCTTAGGTTGGTAATAGCTCTGCTTAGAGACTTAGGAGCTGTGGAGTAGGGACTCTGGCAGCCATGTTTGATTGCATCCAGCAGCTCTTGTTATTTGGGGTGGAAAATTAAAATGATCAAGTTTGGTGTTTTCTTTTGTCAGTTAGAAAAGCAAATATTGTGTTTTCATAATAAATGTCTTTTAGCAAAATTGCTAAGGGTCACTCATCTGGTGAGACCCTCCCAAGAGCCACTCATCATATTAGTATTAGTGGGTCAGCCATCTGTGATAAAAGTGTCCCTAATTACCCCGAAGTGTGGTAAGACTCTCTGGGCTCCTGCAGGGCCTGGCCAGTGGCCGCCCTTCTCCACATGCTGACTTCTGGATGTCCAGAAAGAGGGAAACTGATGTTTATAATCTTGTTGATTAGACTTTCATGCTGTAAAAAAAAAAAAAATAGTAACCCCACAAAGTTAGGACTTTTTAAAAATAGCCAGACCTTCAGCAGATTGAAAAAAAGCTATATAGCCTACTGAGTGACTTTTCCAGTGTCTTCAGCAGCCAAGCTGGCAGATCTTGAGAGCCCCAGGGATGGACTCTGCCTCTGCCGTGTGGCTGTTTAGCCTTATAAAGGAGATCACACAGCTCCAGAGAGCCGTGCAAACCCTGTCTTCCTGACTGTCCTCAGGTGTCCCTTCCTTTTCTCCACTGACTCGTGGTGGAGGTTTGGTGAACCCTCTAAACTTTCCTGTGTGTCTGTATGTAGCTGTACCACTCCATAGTTACTGAGGGGGATGTCACCACACCTAAGGGAAACTCATCCAGAGACCCCCATCCTTGTATTTGCACCCAGTTTCTATGTATATGACGTACACAGTAAGCAAGCATTTCCTTAGCTTCAGGTCTACGATATTTAGTATGTGTAAATAAGGGGACATTTGATAGACATGATAAATTAAGTTATAGCATGTTGTTTGGTTGTTTTGAGGTTTCTTGTTATTTAACTTCCCATTGCACATCTAGGTTGTTCTGAGGGGTGTGTGGTTGGGGGAACCTCCAAACCTGCTCCACCCTGTCAGGAGTGTGCACGCACTAGGGACACTCCACAAGGGCAGCCATGCTGGGAACACACTTAGCTCGTGATGGTGCCTCCCACTACAGCTCGCTCTCTTTCATTCTGATTTACTGTGATGATTTGATGAATGAGAAACACAGCACCTAGGTGCTGCGTGTTTCTGACATTCTCATAGTTTGTAGGAAATAAAAGTTTTTCCCACCATCTAATTAAAATGTTGATTTGATTTTTTTTATTGAGCAGAGTTATTCAAAGCATTCTGTAAACCAAAGCTGGCAGAGGTGTCCAGTATGGTAGTTGATACCATTCAGAGAGCTTACACATGTTCGTGTAGAATTACTTCATGGTTCGTACCATGGTTTGCTAACATCCAGCTACAGAAGACCTGCAGCCTCTGGTGGTCACAAGCTTCTCTGCACATGTGGTTCCTCAAAACCCCCTGTCCTCCATACATGTTCTCACCTACTTAGGCTCATCCCACCTTTATAATAGCATGAGTGGGCCAGGATGGTCTGTTTCTGCAACTGGTATGTAGCCTCACAATGACCTTTACCCCCTGCTTTGTCTTTTCTAGGCAGTCCCCTGTACTAGCTAGAGTCCCTGGCCCTAGGGAGTAAGGAGTATTTGAGGACTTTTAAAAATCACATATTTTACATGTAATTTGGACTCCTTGGACTCCTTCTATTGTGACCAAAGTCAGGTATTGATATTTCCTTCCTCAGAGCTTCAGCAATCACACTGTATCCTGTCCCATGGTCTCTGAGAGCATCCTGGGCCACTCTGTGCTCCAGACAGTAGTGAATTCTCAGGATACTAAACAGCCAAGTTTGTAAAAAATCATTTACTTGTTTTGTAGCCAATGCTTGCTGAGTACCTGTTACTTACGGAACATGTTGGTGTCCTGAGAAAGGGTCATCCTGGTGTGTTCTGGGGGGTCAAGTGCAAAGCAGAGCCTGAATTGACCTGACTTCTTTTTAGTTTAACTGGTAACCAAGAGCTCATATAGATAGTTCCTGCTGGGAACAACACAGGCCCTGCGAGTCAGAAACAGTACTCCTCAGCCTTAGGAATCATTTTAGTTTCCTCTAAGGAGTCAGATTCCTACCTCACTTCCAGGATAGAACTAAAGCATTTGCATCCTTCAAGCTGCCCAGAAGGTGATGGATGCCCAGGGATCATTTAGGGAGCCAGAAGAGCCCCGCTGGTGGTATTGAAGGCAGTCTGAATGTGTCTGTGGAGCCGGGTGGCCACTGCCCTACATATGCTCTTGGAGCTGAGTTCCTCCCTCTTGCTAACCTTTCAGCTTGGCAGATGGCCTTCCAGGATTCACAGGGAGCTTTCCTCTGGGGTCACATTGGGATACCTTTCAGATATGGAAATGAGCACTTGAAATGTAAAGGCTGTTGCCACTATTGTCTCATAAAGACTACTTTCTTATTTATAGCAAAAAGATGGGGAGGGGTTGGTTGATTCTAAGGCATCATGTTTCCTGTAAGAGATTGAGTCATTTTCAAAAACCCTCATCAGCACCCCCCATGGAGTCTCAGACCGTGTCATAGAGTCCAGCTTCCGATGAAGAGGATCATTATTAGAAGAATGCAGTCATGGGGTTTGGTTTGGTTTGTATTCCAGGGCAAATAAAAGCCTGTTGCCTCAAATAGAGTATTTCCTAGTGAGAAGATAACCACATTTACAGTGTTTACTTCTATACACACATGTGCTCTGTGGCTCTGTGTGTGTCATTTAAGCCAAGGCCACTTGATAGAAACGTGAATATCTAAGAGTGCTGCTCTCATTTCTCTTCTTCGTATGGATGCATTTCCTTTTCAACAAAACAAACAAAATCCATGGGGGTTGTGAGAAAAGATCAGAAAGTAAACTTCTCTACATATATGGTTCCTTAACACCCTGGTCTACAGCTGGGAACACCCACCCTGTCCTCGTCTACCTCTGCTGTCTAAGAGAGGGGGGGACCTGATGCAGCTAGACTGTCAGGAGGTATCTCTGGGTCCCCACATCTTAGTGGCACCCCCACTCAGCACCATTAACTGTCCTTAGCCAGTCCAGAGACTGTTTCTTGAACAATGTAGTTTCCACATGCCCGCTGTAGTTTAGCCACTGTTAGGGTGTTCCTAAGTCCACATCTGAGACCACCTTGAGTCACTGTCATAGGAGCCAGGCTGAACACAACAAGGTTTTGACACTGGGAGGATCTCATCTGCCAGAAGTATGACCTCTCTGTTATATACAAAAAGAACACTTGGAACCAACCCCTACTGGGAATTCAAAAACCTTCAGATAGAACTTTCCTGGAAAAACAGCTTGCACAGGTCTTAACTAAAAAATGGTGGACTTTGAAAAGAAAGATCTGGCACCAAGGGAGGCTTGGTGCAATGCCCAGGCAGGTCAGCCACACCCTGGAAGTTCATTCCCACCTTCCAGAGTTAAGAAGCCACATGGTGATTAGTACTTGCTACCATTTGATCACAGTTGTGATTGCTTCCTAAGAACATTTGCAGGTAAGGATTCAAGAGTACAATGGTAAAGACACCAAGGTTCTTGAACACCCCCAGGGACCCCTTGCTTCCAAGGGTTGGGTTTTCCACACACTGTAGCTGCTGTAGCATCTCTCCAGCATGGATGATGGCCCAAGTAGGGAAGGCCATGTGTGCGTGTGGTACAATCCCTGTCCAAAGGTGCTTTCACATATGCGCCAAAGGAGCTGACCAGTAACACCACAGCAGGGACCCATAGGAAATGACACCCCTGCTAAAGAGTCACTGAAAAGAACTTGTTCAAATTGCATCGTGTTTTTGTTTGTTTGGTTGGTTTTGGTGGTTAGAACGTTATAGGAAAAATATTTTAATACCTAAGTCTCTACTAGGCTAAATTGAGTTGGATAATATGAGAAAGGTAAGGATTTAAGTTGCTGTGCTCTATGTGATAGAACACTCGCCATACGTGCATGAGGTCCCTGGTTTGGTCCCCAGTACTAGAGAGAGAGCGGTGTGTGCGTGTGTGTGTGTGTGTGTGTAAGCAGATGATAGACAGGTAAATTAAAAAATAATGTATACAATTCTGCCAAAGTCAGAGAAACTAGGAAATACTTGTCAGACATGAAAAACACAGATTCACTCTCACACCAATATGCTGCCTTCCATAGCTGACTACAGTATGTATATGACTGAAAGTTCCATTGAAGACATTTAAGAAAGAAAAGATGCATTAAAGGATCTCAGGGAGAAGGGTGTCTTTTCCTGTGTGTCCAGGTGGAATTTTTAATCTAGCATGTATCCCTCCCTCTCCCTCGGGCAAAATACTCATTGAGTTTGACAGACTATTTTACATGAATAGGTCCCACTCGTCAGCCTCCTCCTTGGCGTAGGGTCCTAGGGTCTGAAAATTGGAGTGTGCTTTTCACTGAGGGTGTGAAGTGTGGAGGGATGGCTATTACGGATCCTGAAAGGATCTTTTTGACTTCAGAAAATAGCCTGGCCAAGAAAAGCTTTTTTCCATGAATACTCACAGACTGCATTATGCTCCTCAGATGATAGAGGTGAGCACTTTTGATCAATATTCCCCAAGAAACGCTGCCAGGCTAAGTGGGACCCGAGGGCCTCTGTGAGACACCCCCGCCCTTGGAGTGGCTACACCTCGGCAGCACATTTTTCACCAGTGGTTTGAGAGGCAGCATCAGCTCTCCTCCTGAACACTGCCAACCCATTCTGTCCTCCATGCACCTCAGAAATGGTTACCCCACTAGCTTTCCTCTGGGAGCATTTTGTCACTTCATTTCAGGAAAAGCCAAAGACGGATGGCAGTGGGAAGTCTTGAACAGGAACTTCTTAATCAAGAAAGATTTGTTTATTCACTTAGCATCACCGAGATCACAAAGAACAGACAGTATGGATGCATGATACCCTGGATACGCTATATATTTTCTATTTTTGCCCCTATCCCAACTCCCCTCTCCCTGAAAATGGTAAGCAGGTTATTAAACACAAATTCCTTCTGAACAATTTTTTCTCCAGATTCATGCAAACACAAAGATGCCATCTTTTGTACAGAAATAGTATTATAATATGTTACTCGAATGTTCTTATAAGATTTACCATGTTGCTGTGTGATGGTAGTGCATGCCAGCATTCGGGAGTCAGAGGCAGGTGGATCTCTGTGAGTTCAAGGCCAGCCTGATCTTCAGAGTGAGTTTCAGGACAGTCAGAGCTACAAAGAGAAACCCTGTTTTGAAAAACAAAGAACAACAACAAAAATGATTTACTATGTCATGGGTGCACATGCCTCTATTTCATCATGCTGACTGATGGCATAGTTTTCCTCCATATGGAATTTAATTTCCTTGGCCCACATGTAAACATTAAGGTGTCCTCAGTGTTCTTTGTAACAATACCCCTGCAATAAGTGCCGTCGCACTGAGACCTCAGCATGTAGCTGCTCTTATTTTTGAGGATAAATTTCCAAAGCTGGATCTGGAATGTGCTGAAAATGCTTTCAGGTCAAAGACTAGGCTCCTAGCTGGAGATGTCAGGCTACAGTTGAAGCTTTGAGATGGAGCTTCTGGGAGGCTTTAGCTCATTGGACACATACCTTCGAAAGAGACTGTGAGACCATGATCTCTTTCTTCCTTTTGCCCTCACTTCCCCATCATGAAGTGAGAGACTTTGGGTTTCTCCACATGTTCTTACCACAATGAGCTGCCTCCCCACAGCTCAAAAGCAATGAGGTTAACCAGTCTTGAGCCAAACCCTTGAAATCTGTGAGCCAAAGTAAACCCCTGTATTGAGTTTGTTTGCAGTTTTGTTTTTGTTTTTGATACAAAGTCTATCTATGTTGCTCTGGCTGGCTAGAAACTGTCTATGAAGACAGGCTAGCCTCAAACTTAACAGAAACCCACCTGCCTCTGCTTCACAAGTGCTAGGATAAAAGATGTGAGCCACAAGGCCCAGCCTGAAAACATGAGAGAACTTCAGATATTTTCTTGCAATATTGGAAAGTAACACAGTGGTTAGAGTATACATAATTATTATAGACTTCATGTCTAACCCCCAGGTTCATACATTAAAATCATAACCTCCAGTATCATAGAATCTGGAGGTGGGATCTAGGAAGGTAAATAGATTTGGATGAGTTAACGACAGTGAGTGGGGCTCCTGTGGTGGAATAAGTACTGTAGGAGGTGCCTTATGCCAAG